TCTGGATAATGATCATCTCCCACTCTGCCTATATCTGATGCCTCCCTTTGGCAGATGCATCTGGAGGCTCATTTTGTCCCTTCAATTTCTCCAGCAGGTCAAGAAAGATGTGCCAAATGGATCTTGCAGCTCGACCAAAAGAGGAAGAGGGTACTGGCAGAGGACAGCCGACAGAATTGTCAGTCGGCACTCATGTCAACCAACCTTACTCATGATCTTTTGGATCTGTACAAAACTCTAGTGCAAAAGCTAGAGTCCTCCTTGGCTTGTGACCCTCATTTCTTGGTTAAGCAGCCTACAATCTCATCAAAGCCATGGTCTGATAAGGATTGTGTTGAAGCTAAGAAAGCTCTTACCTCAGCTTATCATCTTTATAAATCTGAGATGGGACAATAACATAGCCCTTGAACATCTCACCCTTAAAAAACAATATATGCAATTGGTGGCCTTCAGGAAGAAGGAAGATATAAGGACCACTTGGAAATGACTTATTCAAGCAGCAAAGGAAAAGACTCCACTCTCTTCTGGCATCTAATATCTCATGAGGTCTCCAGAGATCTTATCCCATTGGATTCACATATACCTTCTGAAGCCTGGGAATTACCCTTTCAGGGGATGTATGAAGACCCCTCCAGTGAGCCCCCAGTGCAAAGGCTGGAGGATCTGAGTGGCCCCCCATATCTGTATCAAAATTAAGTTCCTTATTGGTCAGGAGTGGGAAGGCCCCTGGAGCTGACCTTATTCCCCCAGAACTAATGAAGAACAACAGAGTGGCGGACTCCAATCCTGGTATCACTCTTTACCTGTATTGACGCCACTGGATGTGTCCCCAATGATTAGGGCCTGGCAATTATAGTTCTAATGCTCAAGAAGGGAAAGAGAGATGATCCGGCTAACTATAGGCAAATTAGCCTGCTGAACATAATCAGCAAATTTTATGCTAAGCACCCCCATGATAAACTTAAGAACTGGCTGGATCAGGAAAATCTGATAGCGGAAGAACAGGCTGGTTTCAAGGAAGGTAGACGGCCAATCAATCAATGCTTGGTCCTACAGCACTTGATTGAAAAAGATTCAGCCAACAATGTGGCATCACTGTATGCTGCCTTCATAGATCTTAAGGCAGCCTTTGATTCTGTGTCCAAGACCAAACTATGGGTGAAGCTGGAAGCCTCATCAGTTGACCGTAGGCTTCTCTACTTAATCCAAGCCCTACACACTAATACGACTCTTAAAGTGAGGTGCAATATGCAAGGGTTTCTCTGAAAGTCGGTTAATATTCAAAAGAGGGTCAAACAGGGATGCATTTTGGCCCCCCTGATTTTCAGTTTCTATATCAGTGGTATGATGAGATGCCTAAACGATTCAAATTTCCATCTTCCCAAGCTAAGGGATTGCGGCATTGCTTTGCTGCTTTATGCAGACGATGCTGTAGTTCTTTCCAGAATGACAATAGGCCTTAAAAGAGCTCTTGAGAGCAATGGCCCACTACTGCAACAATGTTCCTGGCAATAAACTATCAGAAAACCAAAATTATGGTATTTGCCAAAAGGCTGAAGCTCCACTCATGGAGCATTAATGGTCTCAGGATAGAATAGGTGACCTGCTTCAAATATTTAGGAGTAGTTAAACTGCTGCCACTGGACAAAGAACTGCCAATGCCATTCTTAAATTTTTTCACTCCGAGGGAGGGTATTATGTCCCAGCTGCACTTAAACCTTTTCAGGCTAAGCCACTAGCCCACTCCTCTATGGGACTTTGCCTTGGAGAGAGTACAATCCAACTACATCAGAGCAGCTGTCCAGATACCTTGCTGTGTCCAAATGCACATCTATGGCTGGAGAGAGGTATGATAAAAGTTGAGGCAAGAGTGTGTTTTGCTTCCATAAACCTTTGGTTAAAGCTTAATTTTTATCCTCAAGGCTTAGCACCATTAATTCTCCATGACAACTTTGAATCTACCTGGATTATGGCTGTTGAATCTAAACTTCTGAATCTGGGCTTCTTTTCCTCCTTGGTTCTTAAGATGGAATATGATTGGGTGAAACAAACCCTGAAGCAAAGGATAAAGGATATGGAGTGCCAGGCAGATCTAGGGAAGACCCCAGCTTTCCTGTAATCAGCACACAACAGATATATTGTCACTGCTGCCAGCTACCTCACACAGCTAGAAACACCCAGCCAGCAGAAAGCTTTCTTTCTTGACTGATGTCATGCTCTCCCCTCTGCAATATTGGATGGCAAACATAGAAATGGACCATTGGCTGAAAGGCCCTGCCCCTGTGATTCGGAGAGGTGGAAACCATAGAACATGTTCTTCTTTGTTGCTCCTTTTACAGAGGCACTCGAACCAGATTTATCCTCCCTCTGATTAGCAGATATCCTGGTCGCTCAGACTCTGCCTATGCCCAGATGCTGCTCATAGATGAACTGCCCTTTATTACAGTGCATGTGGGTAGGTTTTGTGCAACAGCATGGAAGATCCACCAGACCTTGATGGGCCAAGTTCCCACGAGACAGATGTATTCTATGTAATCTTAGATATTATCATTTTTGGGGGTAATTATCACATTTTACTTAAATTTTAGATACTATCGCATTTTTATAATTTTAGATGTTATCAGTCTATATAATTTTAGGTACCACTTTGTAACCTAGACTTAGATTGCTTCATTTGGACTTCACTCACAGATTCTAGTCAGGTTGTCTTATAAATGTATTTTAACTTTGGCTTAAATTTTATTTACCATCTTTTAAGATAAATTTATAAACACTCAGAGAGCACGCATGGACACATTGCTTGTGCTGGTCTAAGACTATAATAAACTGACCGACTGGCTACAGCCCCTTGACGTTTTTATTTGTAAGAGTGTAATTGGGATATATAGGGGAATTGAGGCTAGCTAGCACTTGCCTTAACATCATTAGCCTACCTTTCATTTATTCATTATTTAAACAAATCTTTTTAAAAAATCAGGTGGGCCCTACAGCTTAGCAGGCCCCAACAGAGGTGTCTGCAGCACATTAGAGACTAGAAAATGTGTGCTGTTTTTTCAAGGATTGTAAATATCACCCATGCATTTTCAGCATATTATGAAGCTGTTCAGTATATTGACTTGATTGTGTCAATACTTCCCCAAGGAAATGTGTGTTTTCAATCTATGACTTGGACAGGGACGGGAACCTTTTTGTTGTTGTTATTGATCAAAATTATTGCTGTGGATTTGTTATTTGTTTCACAAGCACAGAAAGCAGGGTAAAAAGGTCAAAATTCAGGGGAAGATGGAAAGGGAATTAAGAGATTCTGATTTGTTCTTACCCGATTGTTGAAAATTATGAGAAGATAAGCATGTATTACACGTTACTACCTTTGGTGCCTAATATGTGAGTTCCAAATTCTTGAGGATCCATGGCTTCAAAGCAGGAAGCAGCATTTCTATCTTGTTTTTCAAGGTGCCTCTTTTCACCTTGTACTGGGTGCCCAGCAAATGGAAATAACCCAAAACAGAAAGGTTGTGATACATACTTAAAAAAGCCTTTCTCCATTTATTTTATTTTAAACTTGCAAGAAAACTATCAAAGGGTACATGATTAAATGATTAATATAAAATGGAAAACAGGAGCAGAGCAAATTAAAAGCAGTGTAAAGGTTCAAAATTATCATTAAAATAGCTCACAAATTCAGGAGCAGAATGTCCGAGGAAATGAAAAAAATCGTTGAAGACACATTCAATAAGCAGGTTACTACCACCAAAAGGGATCTCCAGAATCACCATTCACCCAATTTTAGGTGAAGAAGAAAACTTGGAAAAGATGTTTCAGTGAAAAAAGGAACATTTAGATAGAGGTGGTGGACCTTTAGGAATTACTTCCATTGCCATCTCTGCAGAAGTCACATTCCAGGAGAGCTGCCAACTAGCCAGGAACTTCCCTTCACCCAAAGTGGTCTATTCTTTTGCCTTTAACAGCTTGATATACGTCAGTGCTTTTCACAGCACACAGATTCAGCCCCCTTGTAATTTTGCATTTCAAGGGACAGTTGGGTAGGTAGTTGGCCATTCAGCTGCAGATTTCCCCATCGGTTTCCCATTTAAAATTCTCTGCTTGGATCTACATTTGTACTCCAGTCTTACATTAAAGTGGGATTTCATGAACCAAAGATTTAATCATCATCATCATCATACTTCTAAAAGTGATCTAGTCACTCTTTGTTAACAGGCCAATGCATAATACACTTGCTCATTCATTGACTTGTATGCTGCCTCAATCAGAGTGACTTTAGGTGGCTATAACTAAGCACTCTTTAGTCAGTTTTCCCCAAACATCTCCCATATCAAGAAGCAGCATAAAAAAGAACCATGCAATAATTTGGAAAGGAAAACTTCACAAATTATAATTGGGGCAGTCTTTACTCAGAATATTAGAATATTTCCTATTAGCTATTAGAAAACTCAAGAATAGGAAGTACAAATGCTCTCAACAAATTGCATTGGGATTTCTCAGGAAGTGCCTTTTATCAAAATTCCCCCTACCAAAGGATGGTAAAATTCTATCTCTCTGGTCACATTCCTAATCTGGCTGGCTTATTCTGTGGAACTGGTGAGGCTTCCAAGATATTATTAACTACCCAACTTGATATCATATAATGTACACCAGGGTTTCCCAAACTGGGAGGTGTACCTCCCTTGGGAAGGCACAGACAAGAGTCCAGGGGAGGTGTGAAGAGCCAATACATCCACCTTTCCCAAAGTTTCATTGTATTGTTTTCATTGTTCATTTGTGTTCATT